AAGATGCAGAAATTATGACACAAGTATATAAATTGGAGAAGGAAACCACAACGCAAAACTCTCAGGTCGAGAAGGAAAGTACGACATCAGACGTTGAATTTGTAGAGAAAGTTACAACACAGACTGTTCAATCTGAGAAAGAAACCACATTACCATCTCTTGATGTTGAGAGGAACACGACATCGGAAACTGCAGTTACCAAAACTATAACACAAACTTTTGAACACAACAAGGAAACTATAACTCCTGCTTTTGAAGAAGATGCAGAAATTACGACACAAGTATCTAAATTGGAGAAGGAAACCACAACAACTGCCACTGATGCTGGAGTGAAAACTATAACACAAGCTAATCAAGTTGAAAAGAAAACCACAACGCAAACCTCTCAGGTTGAGAAAGAAACTACGACACCAGACGTTGAATTTGTAGAGAAAGTTACAACACAGACTGTTCAATCTGAGAAAGAAACCACAGCACTATACCTTGAAGTTAAGAGGAACACGACATCAGAAACTGCAGTTAACAAAACTATAACACAAACTTTTGAACACAACAAGGAAACTATAACTCCTGCTTTTGAAGAAGATGCAGAAATTACGACACAAGTATCTAAATTGGAGAAGGAAACCACAACAACTGCCACTGATGCTGGAGTGAAAACTATAACACAAGCTAATCAGGTTGAAAAGAAAACCACAACGCAAACCTCTCAGGTTGAGAAGGAAACTACGACACCAGACGTTGAATTTGTAGAGAAAGTTACAACACAGACTGCTCAATCTGAGAAAGAAACCACAACACTATTCCTTGAAGTTGAGAGGAACACGACATCAGAAACTGCAGTTAACAAAACTATAACACAAACTTCTTGACACAACAAGGAAACCATAACTCCTGCTTTTGAAGAAGATGCAGAAATTACGACACAAGTATCTAAGTTGGAGAAAGAAACCACAACAACTGCCACTGATGCTGGAGTGAAAACCATAACACAAGCTAATCAAGTTGAAGAGAAAACCACAACGCAAACCTCTCAGGTTGAGAAGGAAACTACGACATCAGACGTTGAATTTGTAGAGAAAGTTACAACACAGACTGTTCAATCTGAGAAAGAAACCACATTACCATCTCTTGAAGTTGAGAGGAACACGACATCAGAAACTGCAGTTAACAAAACTATAACACAAATTTTTGAAGTTGAGAAAGAATCTGTAACGCCCGTCACTGAAGTCGGATTAAAAATCACAACAAAAACTGGTGAGACTGAAAATGAATTTCGAATATCAACAAGTGATGTTGAAGATATAATCACAACACAAACTGTTGAAGTTGAAAAGAATGCCACAATACCTTCTACTGACGTCGTTAAAGAATATACGACACTAGATGATGTAATTGACAGAGATACCACAAAACCAACTGATGAGGTTGACAAAGCGACCACGGTAACAACAACTATTGAGATTGAAAAAGAGCTCACCAGTCCAACCTTTAAAACTGACAAAGATAATAAATCCCCAAATTTTGAATTTGTGATGGAAGTTACAACGACTAGTATTGGTGCCGAAAAAGAAAATTTTATTGCAACAGCTGAAATTGATAAAGAGATTACGATGCCACCTGTTGAAGTAAACAAAAAATCCACAGCATCAGATGTTGCAATCAACAAAGAATCCATAACACCAACTACTGAAATTGAAAGAGAAATCAAAACAACAACACAAGAGTCCAAAACAACTTTTGATGTTGGTACAACTAAAACACCAACTGTTCACGTTGTCAAAGAGACTACAACACAAACTATTAACATTTACAAAGAACCCACAACACCTCCTGTTGAAATTGACAGCACTAAAATACCAGTTGTTGACGTTGACAAAGAAATCACAACATTAATTAAATCCCATGCTGACACTGTCAACGAGGAAACAATAAAGCCTGCTACTGGAGTAGAAAATACCGAAACACCAAGTGTTGAAGTTGAGGACACGACAACAGAAATTTTGACTGTTAGAAATGAAGCAACACCACATGTCAACATAGAAGAAACCTCAAAATTAAGTGTCGAAGTTGAAGAGTTGACAGTAAAAGGTATAATAGCTGGAAAACAAACGATAACGTCTACCACCGGAGTTGAGAAGACTACTACATCAAGTGTTCAGGTTGAGGAGACAACAGTACTAGATAAAACTTCTTCATCAATGGGTGAAATTCAAAACGAAACAAGCACCGTAGAGGTTACAAAACTGTCTTTAGGAACAGAGAATACAGTTACGGTCAAGCCAGTTGAAAAGCACTTTTCTACTCCAAGTTTGGAACAACAGGAACCGACAGTAACATTCAAAAATGAAATCAACGATTCAACAACAGTCTTAGCGTCTGTTTTAACCAGTTCAGAAATACTAGGTTGGTTATATGGTTTTGGTATGATTTACTAAGTTTTTAAATTTTAAAACCCATACTTCAGAGCATAACTAAACTAAAGATCAAGTAAATTTAACTAGTAAATTTAAGCAGTTGAATTTATTCCTCGTATTTAACCAAATTCCAATAAATTTATAATAAATACGAAATCAGTATAGGAATCACTTAAATTTTGAAATGTATGTTAGGTAATATAACATTTTAGAAGACATGATTTCATTCAAACATATTAATACACAAGTACACACTTAGATTTCTACTTTTTTTTAGGTTGTTATCTTAACGGAAAGAACTATTCTGATGGGGATCATATACCAGTGGTTGATGTCTGCTTGTATTGTTATTGTTTCAACCACCAGATGGTTTGCACTCACAAGATATGCACGCCCCCTAGAGAAGGATGTACCGCCTTACCTGCCAAGTCAGGCCTTTGCTGCCCAGACAGTTATTACTGTCGTAAGTACATTTACTCTGCTAAAAATTCTAGTACTAATTTAAAATTATATCGGACGGTGTCTAGTTTTTTAGAATAAAACTAAAACAAATTTGAAAATTAAACAGCTCATCAATATTCAGACGAAGATCTTTAGTTAATTTTTTTGTACAAAGTAGATAATATTTCTTTACTGGTATTTTATCAACTAGCTCCAGGTGCTATGACAACGTCAAAGCCTTCAGAAGAAACAGGACACCAACAAGCGAATAAAGATTTATCAACAGAAAATCCAACAGAGTCAAATGTAACCTATACCACAACAATAACGTCACTAAATACACAAAAGGAACATCTCCCTGACAAACAATTTGGAACTCTTATAACAGAAGCAACCCTTGGTGTAGATAACGAAATAATATTAACAGAAATGTACAGTGTAAAACAGGAAGATGTAACAACATCAGAGTTCCCTCATATTTCAACACAGGCAATTATGACAACACCTAAGAGTGCCTACACTGCAACAGATGAAAATGAAACAAGTCTTAAGAACGTCAGCACTACAATAAATGAAGAATTAACAACACCTGAAGACACTAACTCTGTTACAAAGAAAAAAGGAATAACACCTAAGGGTGCTTACCCTGTAACAGAAATAATACCTACTCTTAAGGACGTCAAAACTGTAACAGAGGAAGATGTAACAATACCTAAGAATTCCAACACTGTAATAGCAGAAGGTATAGCAACACTTGAAGAAGATACATCATTCGAAGAAACTTACACTGAAAACGTTGATGGATTTATGCAAAAAGAAGATCACATCTTCCCTGAAAAACTGTTATCAAAGCATTCGGAGAATACAGATCCTTTTACATCCACACCTACCTCAACAATGTCACCAACTGCGGAAACCTTTACCAGAAAAGACTGGACGACGTATATCACTGGGCCTTACGAAACATCAACAGAAAGAGACCCAACAGAAGATAACATCTCCCTTACAACTGAAGCGTCTCCAGATGAGATTACATCTGAAGCTAGCAATAAAACTAATGAATGGACAAATTATTTCCCTGTAAAAGTTGGCACAGCTAGACCAAGCATTGTTGGAGAGTCACTTGTAATAGATACCTCGAATTCAACTGAGCACCCTGTCACAACAACAGATGCCATAACAACAGAGAAACGAATATACTCTGTAACAGAAATGGAGAAACCATCAACAACTTTAACAAATGAATGGTCTGAAAAATTACTCAGTACAAAAAATCCATCTACAGAAACGTTAATGACTCAAACCCACACTAGACTTGAAGTGACCTACTTACACAGCACAGAGCCGCCAGTTCCTGAAAGCATAAATCTTGTCCATACCAGAACAACAGAAAGTGACAATCAAACGGATAATTATACTAATATAACAATATTTGATGAGCCAACTACAGAACAATCAAATACAACAGCAACAGAGCTCAGACTTCCTACTGTACCTGCTAAGAGTGTTGTCAGCAATTCAACCACGTTTTCTTCAGATGTAACATTTCAAGAGATGCATGAAGAGGCTGCTAAAACAACAAAGTTTTCTGAAGCTATTTCCGATCCAATCACTGAAAGTACACTAGATTCAAAAACTACTAAAGTAACGAAAGATTCTTATGAGAAAAAAAATGAATCCTTTGATATGACTACTGTTGCCTCAAAGGATACAACAGGAACTTCTGGGTCCTTAGATAGAACAGAAGCAGTTCAAGATTCCACACCAAAAAGTGAAGTATCATCTACGAAATTCATGGAAAGTGATACGTTTCACAATGATGAACACACACAAACTTATGTTCCTTTAATAAATTTGACAAAAGAGAGCTTTGAAGTTACTACTAAAAAAATCCCTATGACAACTGCTGAGTGGATTTTTGAAGAAACTAATGTTAAAGGAAACCGAGAAGATTTCTCTAACTACAAAATAACACCAGAATCACACGAAATAAAAACATGGATTACTACAATCTCTGGAGAAACTGATGTTGAAATTGACTTATCAACAGGAACAACTAACTTAGAAAAAGAAGAAGGAACAACATTGTTCTCAACTTCTAGAACAAGAGAGATTCAAGGTGAAACCACAACTAATTCTCCAGAAAATACAACGTTAACTTCGACTCTTACTATTAAGGATGAAACCCTTCAAGACAAAACCGAAACCAAAGTTTCAGAGGTGACAACTAGTTCTGTCAATCAAAAAGAGAAAAGTGAAGGAATATTTACTTCTGGAACTACTGCCTCCTCTGGGATTGAAGAAACAACAATGTATTTTACTTCTGCTCTCAGAGAGAAAGATGTTCAAGAAATAACACAAAACAGTAATTCAGAAGTGTCAACGAGTTCTGTTCAAGAAACAGACAAAACTGAAAATAAAGTGACTTCTGACACAACCATCTTTATGGTAAGTGACGAAGAAAGACCACTTTCTCTTACTTCTTCTGCCAAGGATGAAAATCTTCAAAACAAATCTGAAGCCGAAACATTAAAAGTGAAAACTAGTTCCCTTGGTCAAATGGAGGAAGTTGAGGGTAAAGTGACATCTGGGACCACTACTTCTGTATATCTTAAAGAAACAACCTTTTCTTCTACTCCAGCTACCAAAGATAAATATCTTCAAGACAGAACTGAAGCCAATGTTTCAAAAGTGATAACTAGCTCTGTTGGTCAACCAGAAAAGGTTGAAGGGGAAATAACATCTGGTACAACTATGTCTTTCGGGGTTAAAGATACAACACTGTCTTCTAATTCTGCTACCATGGATCAAGATCGTCAAGACATAACTGAAACCACTGTTCCAGATATGACAAGTGGATTTGTCCAAACAGAAAAAGTTGAAGAGAAAGTAATATCTGGAACAAATACCTCCTTTGAAATTGAAGAAACGACACTGTTTTCTACTTCTGATACCAAGGACCAAGATTTGCAAGACATAAGTGAAGCCACTGTTTCGGAAATGACAACTAATTCTGTCCATTCAGAGAAAGTTGAAGATAAATTAACATCTCGGACAAATACCTCCTTCGAAATTGAAGACACGACACTGTCTTCTATTTCTGCTACCAAGGACGAAGATGTTCAAGACATAACTGAAGCTATTGTTTCAGAAATGACAACTAGTTCTGTCCATACAGAGAAAGTTGAAGATAAAGTAACATCTCGGACAAGTACTTCCTTCGAAATTGAAGAAGCAACATTGTCTTCTACTCCTGCTACTAAGGATCAAAATCTTCAAGACAGAACTGAAGCCACTGTTTCAGAAGTGACAGATATTTCTGTCAAGCAAACAGATAAAGTTGGCGGGAAAGTAATATCTGGAACAAATACCTCCTTTGAAATTGAAGAAACGACATTGTTTTCTACTTCTGATACCAAGGACCAAGATTTGCAAGACATAAGTGAAGCTACTGTTTCAGAAGTAACAACTAGTTCTGTCGAAACAGAAAAAGTTGAAGAGAAAGTAACATCTGGGACAAATACAACCTTTGAAATTGAAGAAACGACACTGTCTTCTACTTCTACTACCAAGAACCAAGATTTTCCAGACATAACTGAAGCCACTGTTTCGGAAATGACAACTAGTTCTGTCCATACAGAGAAAGTTGAAGGGAAAGTAACATCCGTGAACAGTTCTTCCTTTGAGAGTGAAGAAACAACACAGTTTTCTACTTCTGCTACCAAGGGCCAAGATGTTCAAGACATAACTGAAGCTGCTGTTTCAGAAATGACAACTAGTTCTGTCCAGACAGAGAAAGTTCAAGATAAAGTAACATCTGGGACAAATACCACCTTTGAAATTGAAGAAACGACACTGTCTTCTACTCCTGCTACCCAGGATCAAAATCTTCAAGACAGAACTGAAGCCATTTTCTCAGAAGTGACAGATATTTCTGTCAATCAAACGGATAAAGTTGGCGGGAAAGTAATATCTGGAACAAATACACCCATCGCGTTTGAAGAAACAATACTGACTTCTACTTCTGCTACTAAGGATCAAGATCTCCAAGACAGAACTGAAGCCACTGTTTCAGAAGTGTCTACTAGTTCTATCATTAAAACAAATCAAATTGGCGGGAAAGTAACATCCGTGAACATTTCTTCCTTTGAGAATGAAGAAACAACACTGTCTTCTACTTCTGCTACCAAGAATCAAAATATTCAACATAGAACTGAATCTGAACGTTCAGAAGGGACAACTGTTTCTGTTAAAGAAATAGAGGAAGTTGAAGGAAAAGTTACATCTGGGACCAATGCCTCCTTTGAAGTTGAAGAAACAACACTGTCTTCTATTTCTGCTACCAAGGATGAAAATCTTCAAGATCGATTTGGAGGCGGAATTTTAGATATAACAAATAGTTCAGGCAACATAGAAGAGGAATTAACATTAACAACCTTTAGCTCTACAGATTTTGATAATGTAACATCAAGTTTGTCCCTAGACAAGAAGAATCAGGCTTTTCGTGAAACAAATGAGACTAGATATCTAGAAAGAACAAATTCTAACATATCGATAGCTGATATTTACGACGTTTCCGTTTCTGGTAATCTTCAAGACACAATTAAGATAAGTACAGTAACTGAATCAACAGAAAATCACGACACTATCATTTCAAGATTGTCTACAACAGAAAATCCATTTCCTGTTGGCAATACTTCTAAGGAAGCCGGTAACATTGAATCAACTACAGCCTCTTATGTAGCAGTAAAAACAACAACAAGACAACCAGGTAAGTTGTATACTGAGAATTATTAGTGATTATTTTCATTACAGTTTAACCATCAACAAATGTAGAACATCTGAATTCGTTATTTGATTGCAATCTTGCAAGCATCATAAAGTGCTGTTTTACCCTACCTTCCACAAATGAAGTAAAAATGTTTTACTCTATGAGAAAAAAATTGGAGGGGGTAACGCTTCTTTTAATTAAAAGTTTATTTGCATAATGAAAATCAGTGAACTATAAGATGATAAAACCGGGAGCAGTGATGAAGTTTATTCACATGATGATAAAGCCAAGAGCAAAAATTTAGTTTATATTCACAAGGAAATATGCTAGCCACTCATTCTATTCATTAAAAATATGCTAGCCACTCATTCTATTCATTGAAAATATACTAGAAATCCATTCTATTCATTGAAAATATGCTAGTCACTCATTATATCTATTAAAAATATGCTAGCCACTCATTCTATCCATTAAAAATATGCTAGCAACTCATTCTATTCATTAAAAATATGCTAGCCACTCATTCATTCATTGAAAATATACTAGAAATCCATTCTATTCATTGAAAATATGCTAGTCACTCATTATATCTATTAAAAATATGCTAGCCACTCATTCAATTCATTAAAAATATGCTAGCCACTAATTCTATTCATTGAAAATATACTAGAAATCCATTCTATTCATTGAAAATATGCTAGTCACTCATTATATCTATTAAAAATATGCTAGCCACTCATTCAATTCATTAAAAATATGCTAGCCACTAATTCT